GATATAGACTAAAAATTTCCTCTTTCTTTAAGGTATTTACGGGAAATAGCGATCAATACTCAGTGGTGATACACACTTTGAAGAATCCGATCATAACCCGTTACCTTCGTATCAAGCCCAAGACTTGGAATAGCTACATATCACTACGAGCAGAGTTCTATGGATGCAGAAAAGGTACCTTTTCTAACTTTTAAAAGTTCTTGGAAATTTCCTTTGATTCAGAATTGAAAATTCCCAAGAACATTGCTGCTGCGCAGTCTGTACGGATTATTTCTAAATGCAATTTCTGACGATTGAGGGGCGAAGAAGTCGGAAATTATTATTCTGACGTCACGTTTGAGAGGCTCGCGGTGCATCATGGAATGCTTAGGGATTATTTAAGAAGAGGTTTATATCAATCAAAATTGGAACATCTTGATTTGCACTTGTTTTATTGGGTCTTTTTTAAGGCTTTACACCTCCGGAAATCAAATGCCGGGATTCACTTGGTATTGAAAGCGGCAACATTCCAAGCTCCGCCATTGTGGCATCATCACAGTACAATCAATATTATGGACCTGACCGCGGCAGACTTCGAACAGAAGGAGAGGGAAGCTATGGAGGAGGCTGGGCTGCGCAATACAAAGATGTTAACCAGTTTCTACAGTTTGACTTGGGTAAGGTTACCAAAGTGACAGCCATCGCTACTCAAGGTCGATCGGATGCTGATTGGATAGTGACCAGCTACACTCTGGCATACAGTGTTGATGGCGGGTCTTTTACACCTTACGGCGAAGGGGACGGTCAGGCAAGCGATATTTTCCTTCTCTGTTTTGTTTTATAAGTTAAGTAATAAGTAATTGTCATTTCGATTAGCCAAACTTCTCTGGTATATATAGAAGCATCATTGGGCAAAAATACTGACAAGTCGTATTAGCAGATTAGGTCATACTTTGAGCGAATGGATCACCCCTTGGCTTGTTAAAACCTTTGTTGCGTCTTGGCCTGACCCATATTTTGAGGTTATTTTAAAGGATGGCAGGTGGTAGGTTACAAAGGAGCTGGTAGAGGAAAATATGATCATATTTGAAAAGTTTAAGGCAGTACTGAAGAGCTCGCCATTATACAGGAGAATTTGCTTCTGGGGAATAATTTTTGGGGCCCTGACACTTTCGGAGACTGGATAATTTTCCCGCCCACGAAAATTGTCGTGTGATGAAACAGCTCTAACACTGTCCTAGTTATCTTCCAATTGAAAAAAAAAGTTCTTCCGAGAGGTTTCCTTGATCAGAGGGTATATTTTTCTCTATAAATTATGTGATATATCTATCACGTGAATGTTTGTTACGTAGCCAGATCAGTCTAAGTTAAAAAAGTATTCTCAATGTTGGATGTCATTACTTGGTATTTTGTTAGGTATTTACCGGCAACAACCTTGACAGAAATGAACCCGTTGGTAACATTATCGATCCACCCATCATCGCCCGCTTTGTGCAAATTCGTGTGAAAACCTGGAAAGGACATATCAGCATGCGTGCTGAGTTTTATGGATGCACAGAAGGTTTGTTGGCACCTATATAGATCGTCGAAGGTTTCAATAACATTTTGGCTATTACTGTGTGTTATTTGATCATATAAGCAATGATGCGAGCCACAAAGGAGATAAGGCACAGGAAAAGAGAGACGACTCAGCGGTGTGATCCAATGGGAATTGCTTCCAATTGTCCATGCAAGAACTAGCAACCCAACAACACATCAAGAATGCACGATCAGTTATAAAGAAAACCCTCAAGAATCAATATTTACAAAAATGGCTCGAAACCCAGAATAGGTCATCAACAAGTTCGAGAGAGAAATTTACACAAAAGGAAGTTAAAAATAATTATCAGTTTGAAAACTACTTGACGTTAATTACAAAGCAAGCCCACAGAATTAGCCTGACAAGGCTTAGATTAGGATGTCATGCATTACGAATACAAACTGGCAAATATGAAAATAGAGGAGCATTAATCCCAGTAGAAGAGCGAGCATGTTTAGCATGCAAAGAAAATTGCATAGAACATGCATTGTTGAGGTATAGCACTTTAAGACGTGAGCTGCCCTCATATTTTAAACGCACATACTTGTTACACCAGTTTAAGTGATAACGAGAAGACCAAGTATTTGCTTAGAGCAGACAATAAGGCTAAATCTAAAATAATAGGTAAATATATTCATTTAAAGTTTCAAAAAAGGAAAATAGATTCTCAATTCACAAATGTAATAAGCGCTTTGAATTTTCCAATTAATTGTATAGAGATATGGCAAATTTTATTTTGTATTTTTTTTTTTTAACGTTCAAACCTTTAGTGTAACTAGACCAATACCTCCCTTTGGAGAGTAAGGCGCAATAAAGATATACCATTACTTAACTATGCTATTACTATATCAGGATACCTTGTTACCGAAGCCTTGGTTGTATGTTTTGCTCCCCTTGATGACATAAATATTTTTATAATTTTTTATTCCAAAAGGTTTCCCAAAGCCAAAGCCACCAATGTGTTTAGAGGCCTTAGGAATGCAAAATGGAAGAATTCCAGACTCGGCAATAACGGCCTCGACAGAATACAATGCTGCATGCAAGGCCATTAATGGCAGACTAAATTTCCTGCTTAGATCAGGGAGATATGGAGCGTGGGTAGCGAAAACGAATGACGTCTTCCAGTATCTTCAAATAAATTTTGGTGATTGGACAAAAGTAACTCGAGTTGCTATTCAAGGAAGACAAGATGCCGATCAATGGGTGAAAAGCTTCAGCCTTTCGTATGGCTACGATGCTGTGTTTTTTAAAGATTACAATGAGAACGGGGCAAAAAAGGTAATTGATCGTCATGACAACTGCAGTAGTCAGTACAAATCGATAAATTAGTTTTGAAAGAGCTACATAAATGTGTTCAGGAAAGTTGCTGATTTGATTTACAGACAAGCAAATAGTGAGCGCAATGCTTTTTCTGATGTGTGACTTCATTTCATTGTCTTTCAGATATTTCCAGGAAATAATGATCGGTATACACCTGTCAGTCATGATCTGAAAATACCAATCGTCACTCGCTACATTCGTATCAATCCAGAAACATGGCAATCTCATATTTCTATGAGAACCGAGTTCTATGGCTGCAGAGAAGGTGAGAATGGCCATCTAATCTTAAGTGCGAGCGCTTTCTATCTCAGTTTGATCTCTTCTGAAGACGCAAATATCGGATATTTGCGTCTTCAGCTGAGATCACCCGTCTTCAGATGAGATCAAACGGGGATAGAAAGCGCTCGCATTTAAAAAGAACGAAGGAAACGTCTTTTCACGTATTTTCGTTAACATGTAGCGCGTACACGCGTATTTGTTTTATAGTAACTGTATGCGATTACTACTTTGCCTATTTAAAGAAGTTTCTACTCCCTTTTCTCCTTTTCCTTCTTAATTTGGGATTCACTGGTCAGGTGCAATACAACAGTAACCAAAAAATTGAAATAAAAAGGCGAACTACAATAAAAAAGATAGTGGAAAACGCTAGCAATTGAGACGGTTTTGGAAGAGAATTTTCAACGTCTTTTGGAATTTTGCTCCCTCCTCTCTGAATCACAACAATCTCTCTGTTAAATCAGGATTACGAACGTTGTTTATTAAAAAATTTAAATGCAATCAGTCAACTATTAAGAATTCATGATGCTGTTAGGACGCTCAGTTGAAAATTATTATGGGAAAGGGAAAAAAAGAACAAATCGACAATTCACAAACGGTCGCATAAGAACGTTAAGCCTGACTTTCTCGTTTTCATGAAAAAAATACGTGTCGTGGGTTACTTAGGACAACTTTTTCATGCCGAATAAACGGTACTTTAAGAAAGTACATTACACATTGTTGGGCTAAACTTTTTTCTTGCACACTAGGGTTTAAACCACCAAAACTGGAATGCCAGTCAGAACTCGGAATGAAGAGTGGAAAAATACCGGACAGTGCTATCACTGCTACCACAATCTATAATCAGTACAGTGGTCCAGAACGTGCCAGACTCGATACGGTGAAGTCAGGGAGCTTCATTGGAGCGTGGATTCCCAAGACCCAAGACATCGGACAATGGATTCAAGTTGATCTTGGAAAAATTACGAAGATCACACGTTTAGCAACTCAGGGGAGACAAGATGCAGCTCAGTGGGTGAAAAGCTATTGCATTAGCTACAGCCTTGAAGGAGGTCCATATCTTCCCTATAATAACAACCAGGTAAATAAACATAAATATCACAGAAAATTGTTTCACAACGAAAAAGTTATCTGCTGTAGATATATAGGAAGAGGTAGAAGTAGTTTGAAAGCTATCTTTAATTAATTTTATGCTTATGCGACGCGTAAGTGAGCTTTACTTTTCATTTCTTATTAGGTTCTCATTGGTAATACAGATTCGAATACAATCGTTGGGCACATTCTTAATCCACCCTTCGTTGCGCGCTACATTCGAATCCACCCCAAAGAGTACCAAAGTTACATGGCTCTACGATTTGAACTTTATGGATGTACAGAAGGTTAGTGAATGACAATCTCCGCTCCTGTTTGTGAAATCGAAATAAGCAATCATTCTTTGCTTGAAACGCCGCATAACACATACTCTGGGTAACTATGGTATTCGTACCTCCATTATGTACAGCGGGTATTTATGAAAATATTTCCATTCATTTGCATGTGATACGATTGATCAATCTGTTTGAGATTTCCTTGTGATCGGGTTTGCTGATTCCCACTGCTTAGTGTCCTTCCTCAGTTGATATGTAAAGTCTGCACACGAGCCAATTGGCTCATCAGGCCGACGCTTATCTCCGGGTTCTGTAGCATGAAGCGACTGGGAATATTTCTACTCCCCTTGGATATGATGCTAGTCCATCGAAGGACTTCTGCGTAGTGTCTTTTCTCAGAAAATGACTATATTTTGTTTCGCTTGTGTGTTGAAGGATTCGTGATCCCACTTGCACATCCCTGTGATGCAGCTCTTGGAATGCAAAGCAACAACATACCAGACTCCGCTTTAAGGGCATCTACGTCATACAATGTAAATTCCATGGGACCAAAAAACGGTCGATTACATTTTCAGCCATTATCAGGCCAGTACGGAGCTTGGGCTGTCTCCAAAAATAACGAGTTCCAATACTTTGAAGTGAACTTTGGTGATTGGGCTAAGGTTAGGAAGGTGGCAACTCAAGGAAGACAGGATGGAGCGTGGTGGGTAAAGAGCTACACTCTTAGCTACAGCTATGATGGTGTGTTCTTTGAGGAATACAAGGAAGATAATGGGGTCAAGGTATTTTAGTTTATAGTTTTTTATATTTGTTTTATTGTTTTTTTTTATTTTGGCACTTGCTGGCCTGTACAGGCTTTCTTTCAGTATGCTGTAGACACGCCATGCTGTTTTTGCTCTATTTCCTTAATTAATGAATGTAGAAATGAACAGGCAGCATAACAGGGAACAATTCTAAATTCTCATTTACAGAAAAAATAGGAATCATTTAGGCTCAGTCTGCCTGAAGTCTCTGAGATAACCGTTTGCTGAGAGAACTCCTTAGCACATTCTGTAGATATAGACTAAAAATTTCCTCTTTCTTTAAGGTATTTACGGGAAATAGCGATCAATACTCAGTGGTGATACACACTTTGAAGAATCCGATCATAACCCGTTACCTTCGTATCAAGCCCAAGACTTGGAATAGCTACATATCACTACGAGCAGAGTTCTATGGATGCAGAAAAGGTACCTTTTCTAACTTTTAAAAGTTCTTGGAAATTTCCTTTGATTCAGAATTGAAAATTCCCAAGAACATTGCTGCTGCGCAGTCTGTACGGATTATTTCTAAATGCAATTTCTGACGATTGAGGGGCGAAGAAGTCGGAAATTATTATTCTGACGTCACGTTTGAGAGGCTCGCGGTGCATCATGGAATGCTTAGGGATTATTTAAGAAGAGGTTTATATCAATCAAAATTGGAACATCTTGATTTGCACTTGTTTTATTGGGTCTTTTTTAAGGCTTTACACCTCCGGAAATCAAATGCCGGGATTCACTTGGTATTGAAAGCGGCAACATTCCAAGCTCCGCCATTGTGGCATCATCACAGTACAATCAATATTATGGACCTGACCGCGGCAGACTTCGAACAGAAGGAGAGGGAAGCTATGGAGGAGGCTGGGCTGCGCAATACAAAGATGTTAACCAGTTTCTACAGTTTGACTTGGGTAAGGTTACCAAAGTGACAGCCATCGCTACTCAAGGTCGATCGGATGCTGATTGGATAGTGACCAGCTACACTCTGGCATACAGTGTTGATGGCGGGTCTTTTACACCTTACGGCGAAGGGGACGGTCAGGCAAGCGATATTTTCCTTCTCTGTTTTGTTTTATAAGTTAAGTAATAAGTAATTGTCATTTCGATTAGCCAAACTTCTCTGGTATATATAGAAGCATCATTGGGCAAAAATACTGACAAGTCGTATTAGCAGATTAGGTCATACTTTGAGCGAATGGATCACCCCTTGGCTTGTTAAAACCTTTGTTGCGTCTTGGCCTGACCCATATTTTGAGGTTATTTTAAAGGATGGCAGGTGGTAGGTTACAAAGGAGCTGGTAGAGGAAAATATGATCATATTTGAAAAGTTTAAGGCAGTACTGAAGAGCTCGCCATTATACAGGAGAATTTGCTTCTGGGGAATAATTTTTGGGGCCCTGACACTTTCGGAGACTGGATAATTTTCCCGCCCACGAAAATTGTCGTGTGATGAAACAGCTCTAACACTGTCCTAGTTATCTTCCAATTGAAAAAAAAAGTTCTTCCGAGAGGTTTCCTTGATCAGAGGGTATATTTTTCTCTATAAATTATGTGATATATCTATCACGTGAATGTTTGTTACGTAGCCAGATCAGTCTAAGTTAAAAAAGTATTCTCAATGTTGGATGTCATTACTTGGTATTTTGTTAGGTATTTACCGGCAACAACCTTGACAGAAATGAACCCGTTGGTAACATTATCGATCCACCCATCATCGCCCGCTTTGTGCAAATTCGTGTGAAAACCTGGAAAGGACATATCAGCATGCGTGCTGAGTTTTATGGATGCACAGAAGGTTTGTTGGCACCTATATAGATCGTCGAAGGTTTCAATAACATTTTGGCTATTACTGTGTGTTATTTGATCATATAAGCAAT